CACTGACATGCACACAAGGAGAATGTCATGTGAAGACAAAGGTCAAGGTTAGGATGGTACATCTAACAAGGAAAAGACGGACAGCAAATCACCAGAATCTAGGAGAGAGGCATGGAACAGCTTCTCCCTCACAACACTGCCAACATTAATCTTGGACTTCTAGTCTCACGAGCTGTGAGACGATCCACTTCTGTTGCTTAGGCCGACCAGTCTGTAGTTCTCTGTAATGGCAGCCCTAGCAAACGAATACACGGTGAAATCAGGCAGCAAGCAGACTGCCCATTTAAAAAGGGATGACAGGAAAATACATAGCATGACACAAACCTGACCAAATTTCCCTCTAGAACTTTATGAGAGTTTCCTACCTCCAGCCAATGGGGTCATCTCTGACGTACTTTAAAATCATGTCTATGAAGAAAAGAGACTTAAGCTTTACAATGGATTTGACCAAGCCCCTCTGTCTAAGAGAGACTTAGATATTAAATACTCCCGTTCTGTGTGTGTGTGTCTGTGTGTGTCTGTGTGTGTGTGTGCGCGCGCGCGCGTGCGCCTGGGTGTGTGGTGGGCGAGGGAGGCTTAGGCATCTGCCAAAACTTATTATGAATAACTAAAATCTCCTTGGAAAAATACCTTGGCGGAGATGTTGGTTGTCAACCTTCATGAGACCTATTATCTCAACAGGCAACAAATTTAAACTCCTGTCTGAGCAGGATGTGTCTGGTTCCTCAAGATTCACGAGGTGTGTGCATTTCCTTGGCTGAAAGCTGCAATAGTTAGTAGCTGCTACGTAAAGGTATACCATCAATTCACTCTTTCATGGAGCCAGTCCTTTGAAATTGGCTGTTCTGATTTTTTTAATGGAATGTCCGCTACTTCCCTATTACAATGGAAAACATAACTGGGAACAAATCCTACATAAAATTAAACACACACCCACAAAGTAAACTATGAAGCCCTTGATCAGGTTTGAGTGGCATTTCTCAAGATTTGTTACAAAGATCTTTCAACCCCATTTCCCATCCCTCGACCTCCACCCATTTCACTCAATGCACTAGAAATTGGCATTTACAAAGAAATTCCAGAAGCCTGAGCATTTTATTAGCAAAGGGAAATCCCAACCTTTTTGGCCTCATTTCTCATGATGACAGCTCATTTTTCCATGTGGAACCACACACAAGTTGCTGCAAATATTTAAAGAGGTAAAGAAGCCACTTTCAAACTATAGTCACAAAAGACATAATAATCTAGAACTCTGTGCTTGTATTAGAAGCATAAAAATCAGTCTATCCATTTCAAAAACTAGAATGAAAACTTTACAGTGTTCTTACTGAAATACTCAGAGTCATGCCATAGGCATGTACCTATCACTATTTTGTATGTCAAGGGCCATTTTTGAGACTGAATCTGCCCACTGAGCTATAGGTTGGCTCCCCTGCATCAGCTTTCCCCGCTCCCAGACATCCTTCCAAATCCTACTCATCCTCAAGGCCTGGTAGAAGCTCCACCTCCTTTATAAAACTCCCCAAATTCTCCCATTTCCAGTGATTCATCCCTCTGAAAATCAGTAGCACTTATTACCAGGCCTCATAATTTCACAAACCAGTGGTATCATCTTGACGGTCCCTTTAGTTTCTATATTCTGTACTATTTGTATTTACCTTAGTTATTTCTTGCAGGTAGTTTTTCTCCTCCCACCTAAGTTTATGAGCATTTTCAAGATAACCATTCTTTACATTTCTCTCGTATCCCCTCTAGAATCTAACCCAAGTTTAAGGACTCCCAAAATAAAGTTATAAATGTTAACTGAAAAATGTCATCATCATAGAAGCTTCAAAATTTCCTTTAGCCTCTGTGGGTTATCTGCAGGATCCCAAATATACTTAGGAATCAAAGCAACTAGACAATAGCATTGTCTAAACAGCCCATGGAATCAAGCTCATTCCCCTGCGACACTCACATAAACCTGCTCTTGACATAGTGTCAGTCTGAGTTGAGTGTTCCAGAAAAGACACTGATTAAATCTCTACCCACATGACGGTCCTGGAGTAGCAGAGTGACCTGAAGTCCATCACAGGGGGCTCCTTCAGGCCACTTCTGTCCTTTTTTTTTTACTCCTGGGTTTTGCTCTCAATAGCCACAAGCTCATGTGGCCGCAGACCTCCCAGACACAAGCTGGCTGAAACGCGATCACACCAGCGGGTCACCTGTCTTATCTTTATGCATGCGCTAACCTGATCTGCTATCCTTTTCTTCCTACCCCCCAGAAATACAAAGAACCCTTTCTTCCCCCTTCTCCCCCACACAAAGACAAGCAAGGAAAATTTGATGGCTGATGGTTTAGGATACTTCTTTGAGAGAGACCACTCGATTCAGGTACAGATTATCATTTGGCTCACTTAACAGGATTTAAGCAATTATAAACTCGTTTTTCTTGTAACAAGTAATAAATATGTATGCATGTACATACACCAAAAAACTCAAACCGAAAGGCACACACTGAAAAGCAAGCCTCCCTCCCCAAGTCACTCCCAGCTCTCAGTTTCCCTCCTCAGGAAAACTGTTACTAGATTATTCTGCCCTCTGGATCATATAAATTTTTTGAATCCTATTTTTTACTCTAGGTTTCTGATTAGGAGAAAGGAATAATTATTAGCCAAGCACCTCCTGAGCACCAGGCCCTGAGATGTGTGTTTGACATCCTGCAGCACATTTCACCTACACAACAACCTTGTGAGGCTAATATTATTAAGTCCTCTACTTTTTGGGTCAGAAACCTGAGGTTGAGAAGAGTGAGAGCATTGTCCAGGGCCATGTAACTAAGTCTGAGTCCAATACCCCTTCTCCAAGCTGCTCCTGAGATTGCCCACTCTCATAAAATAGAATCTACACGCAAAACTGTTCTTTCGGGGAAGATGAGACCTGGAATTGGACTACCTTGACACAAATCTGGTTCTACAACTTTGAGCTCTAAAAACCCAAATTACTGTACCTCCCCAGGCCTCACCTCCTTCCTCTGTAAAATGAGCTTAACAGTAATGGCTACCACATACTATCTGTGGCAAGATGAAATGCATTTCACATGAAGAGTTTGGCATAGCACCTGATATATCGTAAACCTGTGCTTTATAATGAGTAGTCAGTACTATCATTATTATCATATGGCTGATTGACAAATTGGGGCTTGAAATCATTTTCTTTTTTGTTTTATTCCCTCCAGTTACGTGTATGGTGATGTGGCTTGGGGAAACAATTTGGGATGAATCTGGGGGAGACAGCTGAAATTGCCCAGCTCCACTATACCAATTTCCTTTGCTCTACTCCCCCAGGTCTGTGCCTGTAACATTTTTCTTTGCGCTGACTGCCAAAATACAGCCTTTCCTGCTGCCAAATCCCAGAAGCTTTTACTAGTGTTATTACTGTGATTTTTTTTAAGCATGGCAACATTTCAGTTTTTATTTTAAAACCAGATTCCAGTGACACCCTCCCTAGTGCCACCAGCTTTTAATTTTTAAACCAAAAATTTATGTGCCTATCATTTCCCCCACCCCTGTTCATGTGTCACAGAACTCTAGACTGATGAAATTTTGCAAAAATAATCTCAACATGTATAAATGGAAGCTACCCACATTCCCTTGGAATGGAAAAAGACATTTGTCAGCCTGGTCACACAATTTACAAGCCCATATCCCCTGAACTGAGCAGCATTTTCCATTTAATTGCCTTTTCCTCCTTAGCTGAAAGCCAAAGGAGCTATGTAGGCTACAGTATCGTACAGCTAGCAGAGGAGGAGGTTGAAGGAAGTTTCTCGGGGGAGTGGTAGGAACACAGGCCAAGGAAGTCACATGGCTGGGGCTCTCACTCTGACCAACATCTACTTGTATGACTTGGGCTAAGCTACTTCATATTCTCTGAGTTTTAGTTAATGTACCTAAAGAATGAAAAGGAGAGACCAACTTTTTCCTAAGAACCCTTGCTAGCTCTTAAATCTTTAAGAGAGACAATATTTTGCAATGATCCCATAAGCATCTCATCTGGCCTGGGCCTTATCAGGGCGGTAAGTTACAAGTCAGGACACAGCCTCAGGAGATAAGCTTCAGCCAAAAGTAGGTGTGCGTGTGACATGTCATGTCAGCCATAAAGGACACGGCCTCCATTTAGCACAAAAATGCAATTGTGCCAAGCTGTCAAAATACAATTCATGACAAAGCAATAAAACCCAGGTTCACCTATTATGACTTAATGTTAAACGATAGCTGAGCAAGTTCATTTTGAGGGTGACATGGCTAAAGAATTCTTCCATGAATTTCTCCCATTCAACAACTCTGCTCAAAGCATCTGGAATGCAGTTAGTAGTACAAGACTAGGATCCCAGCAGGGTTTATGGGGTGACCTTTGGTTAAAAAATCATTGTGCATAAACTTTCCACTAGGTTATTTTTCTCCATTTTCTCCTCTGGGAGCCTTTGTTTCATAATTCTGACATCGTAACTGGTTCCTCCAATCCAAAATCTTTTAGGATGGATAACAAATGAGTAAGAACCTCAGGAATTCAGGGGGAGTAGAAATACAGGCAGCAATAGACATTGTTGTTTTACCACAAAACAACAGAGTTAAGCTTCCTAAAGGCAAAGATGAACCATGCGAATATGCAATTCCTTAACCATCCCCATGCGACTAAAAATGACATCCTGAATCAGGATTTTGGCAACTTTAGAGATGCTGAAGTTTTTACTGATTCTTTCCTTTAAGACGTTTAATTTGTCCCTTTCTCTACATGGCATGGACCCCAAGAATCTTAAAAATGTCATTTTTGAAAGCTATACACATAAACAGTAAGAAAACTAGAGCATGCCATTCACAGAAGCCACCCCAAGTTGGGCCGAGAGTGCTGCTGGCATCTGTCATTCATTAAGCCAGTGCCTTATCGAGGCAGGAGCACAGACGGTTTCTGCAGCTCAGGAGCAGGGGGGACAGCCAGACGGTGAGTCACCGCTTACTCACATCACTCTTCCTGAACTTCGCTTTCAAGCTCTTCATGTTTGGCCCATTCAGCCTTCGGAAGCTCTAGAGGAGATTTTTCAACACCTAAGCAGAGAAAGAAAGAAAGGAGGAATGTAGGTTTCCAAGAAAACACTACAGATATTCTCTCCTGATTAAATTACAACTTTGGGCCACGGGTAGGAGCTGAGGCTGGGGTGGGAAGGTGGAAAGAGTCAAGAACATTTGCTATTCCCACTCAACATATACTCCCTAGAACCTTCTGACATTTTCAGGTTAACCAAAACTTTCACTTTTTTCTTCTTATTATTTATTTTAATTGACAAATAAAAATTGTACATAGTTAGGGTGTACAACGTGACGTTTTGAAATATGTATACATTGTGGAATGGCTACTTCGAGCTCAATGACATGCATCACTTCGCTTACTTATTTTAATGTGGTGAGAATACTTGAAATCGACTCTCTTACCGGTTTTCCAGTAAACGATACCTTGTAATTAACTATAGTCTTCCTGTCTAACTGACATGTTGTGTCTTTGACTGTCCCCTCAATCCCCTGCCCAGCCTCCTAGCAACTGGTAGCCACCACTCTACATTCTGCTTCTCTGAGTTCAACTTTTAAAAATTCCACATATAAATGAATTCCTCAATATTAAAGGGGGGCGGGGAGGGGAAAAGGAGGAATTGGTAAAGGGACACGAAAATCAACTGCATTGTATACTGATAAATTAAAACAATAAATAAATAAATAAATAAGAAGAATGAGGTTAAGTTGCTGCTTAACTGTCACTGTATAAAACACTCTATCTGTATGTTGAAGGCATTCCTCTACACATTCTTCGTCCGCAATTATACCCTCCACCTCCTTTTGAAGGGCCACAATATTGAGAAATGATAAGGAAAACAGTTCATATTCCAGATGCCATTCATTCCCGATTTATTTTTCTCAGTGTTTGTTCCCCTCCCGGCCCCCCATATGCAGAGGGCAGTTAGTGAAAAATGCCAGGAACAACAAAACCTCCCTCATCAAATGGCTCATTCCTCAGGGGGCCACGCTAAGCAGTGCAAGACTCCCCGGGCCCTGTGGGATGCAGCAATGCTGAGTTAAAGCTGGAAGAGTCTTAAGAAATCTCCTCAATTATGAGGGGTCTGTGATCCTCTGGAAATTGAATGTCATTTTTTTTTCATAAGCAGATGTGTACTTTTCTCACAAAAAAAAGTTCCTAGTTTTCATTGGGACCCTTTAAATGTCAAGACTACTAGTCTAGTCTAAGCTCTTCATTTTCCAGAAGAAGAGACAGAGCCTCAGAGAAATTAAGAAGCTTGCCTGCAGTCATAAAGCCTACAGAACCAGACCCCAACTCCGACTGGTAGCCCTACACAACTTTACAACTAAAACCAAAAGCCAAATCCTGTGCTAAAATATGGTAGACTTTAACTTTTCCATTAAACCTGGAAATGTACAGAGTGTGGAACCTTTGCATGTAATAAAAAATCAAAGTGCATTTAAGGTCAAAAAGTCAAGATAATGCATGTGAAAGTCTCCATCACAGAGTAAGCGCTCAATAAATGTATCTCCAAGCCACACCTAATAGAAAGTGAGAACAGGTAAACTACAACAGTCCTATCCCAGTAGAGAGCTAAGGAATAGCAGTCAAATGTTTACCACAACTAACCATTATTTTTCAGAAGTCTTTCAAGGTCATCTCATGTTTCTCCACATCCTTAACATTCTGGACAAAGCTTATTGAGGAGATAGAGGAGAAAAACCACAAGCAACTAAATGGCTATACTCATCCCTCCTCATGTCCTTGTCGCTACCTCCAGAAGTCACCCAGTGACTCTCTGGCTTCTCATGTGTTCACTTTCATCGTTGTTGCTGCCAGCAAGTAGGGCCCTTGGATGAATGGCATGAACACTCAGTCATCATAAAGCACTTCGATGGCACTAATCTGGAGGCCACATCATTACTGCAGCCTGTCCATGGTCCCTTTCAATCTTCCCAGTCTCTGCAGGAATGACAGAATGCACGTTGCCTTAGAAACTGTACACACTGTAATTACACAGTTAACTGCCAAGCATTTAATTACAGAGAATGCTGGACTGATACCTGAACCGCAAGTGCAAACTCCAGGGCAATGTTTCTCAAAGTCAGTCCCTAGTCAATCTGCATCAGAAAGACCTGGGGACAATTTGCTAAATGCAAAATCCTAGTTTTTATCCTATGGAAGCTGTATTCTAAGGGGCAGGGCCCATAAATTTCCTTGGTTGAATCTTTTGCTCATTAAAAACCAAGAACCTAGAATTGACATAGATGGAACAGGGAACACTCTTGTCAGAGTTGGGCTGGTTTGTAAACCAAAGTTGGGCTGTTTTTTTTCACATAGAACAAATCACTTTTTGATGAACTGAAGTAGAAATAATAATAATCAGATATTCTCAAACTATCATTGGGCCGTGGTTTCTACACCAACTATTGCTAGAAAATGGAAATCATTCTTTGAGTTTAATCCCTTCCCCCCTCTGGTGGAATTGCTAATAACTAAGGAAAGAGGCCAAATCAGTGCAGCAGAAAAGGAAGAAAAGAGAAGTCACGGCTTGGATAACCCACAAACTGGGTAGCCCACCAAGGCAGAACCACCCAAAGCATTTCTTCACTCACAGAACATAAGGTCTTAGGCAACAGTGGCTAAGATTTTTGTTTGAGGTCACAGAGGTTTCATGGGCGTTGTGTTAGTTTTTTGTGTTTGGCTTTGGCTTTCTTTTTTTAGCATGGCAATGAGAAGTATGCAAACTCTTATTTGAAGAGGATTAAATAAATAAAGTAACTAATTCCAAGAGTTCCCAGGGGAATGCATTAACTGCTAAATGAGTGCTTTCCTGGAGTCTAAGTCTCTGGGTGTGTGACAGCTGGGTGGTCCATGGGTATACCTCCAGGATGGTAGAGATAGGTGTCAAGGGAAAAGAACCCCAGAAACTAGGACTCCAGCTGGGGCACTTAGAGTTATGAATAGATCACTGCTTTCCTGGTATTTGTAAAAGGATCTAACACCTGGAAGCCATAGCTAATGGAAAGTAACCTAGCCCCAGGAATAATGCTCTGTCCCAGCATATCCTCTTCCTGAAGAGTACCCATGAGTAAATCAGGAACTCAACTTCCCTGGGTCAGATGGGATCTTACAGCCCCAATTCCCAATCTTAAACTTCGAAAGCCCAGGCTGGCCTACAGCCTATCTTGAGTAAAGTAACATCTATCAGTTTAACCAGGCTACACTGATGGTAGTCCTTGGAAAAGCCACTTATCAGGATTCTTATTTCAAAAGAACTGAAATGAAGCTGAATTAGCTGCACAGTAGCCTAATTTGGGTATGTACAAAAAGAGAATCACATCTACGGAAAAAGTTATTTAAACTCAGTTCTATTTCAAGCAGAATAAAGCATACCTACCCACTGAGAAGAAACATTAGTAAGTTTACTACCTGCTTAATTCAAAGTCTATAGGTCAAATGTGTCCCCCACAAGTTCATGTAACTGAAACTTGACACCCACTGTAACAGTGTTAAGGGGGTAGGAAACCCTATTAAGGTATTTGAAAGGTGGGGCTTTTAAGAGGTGATTGGATTATGGGGACTATGCTCTCATGTTTGATCCATTCATGGATTAATGGGTTGATGGTTTAATGGGTTGTCATGGGTGTGATTCTGATGGCTTTATAAGGACAGTGAGTAAGAAGATTAGCTCTCTTGCTCATGCCAAGTGACATCCTGCATTACTGTAAATAGTCACCAGCAAGAAGAAGGCCCTCACCAGATGTGGTCCCTGGACCTCGGACTCCCCAGCCACCAAAACTGTAATAAATAAATTTCATTTTCTTTATAAATTACCCAGTTTCCGGTATTTTGTTATAAGTGACAAGGCTATAAATGACTGAAATAAGGTGTCCATCATTGGTTACCTATCATCATATGATGGACACGAGGCTGACCAATGTGGATGGAGCAGTACAGAGACATATGTCCTTGCTGCCTTCTCATTTGAAAGACTGGATGCAACACAGTTTATTGGTTAATTCATTTTCCCTTTTTTTTTTTTTTAAATTAACATTTATTTATTTTTTTATTATTATTTTTTTTCCTTTTTGTCTTTTTTCGTGTCCGGCAACGGATCGCAACCCTCAGTGTCGCGCCCGTACCGGACCGGGACCG